AAGAATTATTGACTATTTTTATGTCTGCCAGGAGGTAAGAGGTTGGAGAGAATGTGGTCAAAGGAAAATAGTAGAAAATAGTCACATTAGATTATTGGAATGAAGCTAGCATTCTGCTTAGTTAAACTGTCAAACACCAAGCGGTCACCGGTGACCGCAACCTATTGTTCTTTAATTGTGTCTATAATGACGGTGCTCGACGAGTTAAGTTAAGGATACGTTTAATATATTATAATAGGAAGATAGCATATTTATGTAATACATAATCACCATAATCAAGATAAAAACAAAAACTTTTTTAAATTATGCAAAAATGGTTAAAATTTGCAACATTCACTTTCCGCAACAGTGGCTTAATATGAAAATTTCCGCAATATATTAAGAGTTTCGGTGCGTCTAACAATTTATATGAGGACAGAGGGCAATCCGTCTTCCTCGGAGGATAAGTTGCGACTTAATTAATTTGCTAAAACGTTCCCTACTCGACAAAAGCCGGAACATAGTAAGTCTTCAAGAAATCACACTTAAGGTCTCTGAGAACAGAGATTGCGTGGGAAGGTTGCTTAAACCGCCTTAAACCCCTTTGTGCCCTTTTTATCCTGAAATATTAAAGGTTTTAACTTTTTTATTTGACTTTACATCTAGAATGCACGGTTATTCTAGATTCAAAAGTGGTTGAAAGATGTAGAAAGGCTTTTTTTTTAAGGGGGGAAAATCATCGAATGACTGCTCCCGCCTGGGTGAGGCGGGAGGGAGTGTCAGACTCTTACTGACTAAAAACCACCCCGTTCCTTCGAGCCGGAACCCCGGTTACCCGTTAGGTTCTCCGCGACTTACATCTACAATGCGTGGGTATTCTAGATTTGAAAGTGGTTGAAAGATGTAGAAAGGTTTGACTTAAGGTTTATCATGCTGTGAACTGCTCAATATTGTGAAATAATAATATCTATGATATTTAACGATATATCATCGTGAAATATGTTTTTAATAAACAAAGTGCTTTTGTTTTTTTGATAAAAGTGCAATGGTAGCATGATTCCCCAAGGCATTTTAAATTTAAAACATTAAAGTGATAATGTTATCTATATTTTAAATTTGTTTGGTATTTGTTTGTTTAAGAGTTTTATTTCTCATAAAAAGAATACAATTCACTTAATATGTAAGAAAACATGATAAATTAAAATTAAAGTACGGAGTATGAGAATGCGGGGGTGGTACATTAAAATTTTTTATACTAAAATAATAATATATAATTAATTAAGAATGTGAGTATTACTGAAAATATAACAAAAATAACTTAAGACAAAGAAAATGGACATGCAGGTGGTACAATTTGTTACAATTTCAAAATGAATATTAAATGATATTACAGAAAAATTTAATAATCTGAATCTCAATAATCCTCTATTTATAGAATGAGCATATGAGTCCTTTGAGTTATCTCTAACTCATTTGCTTAACGTTGAGAAGTGGACACTATAGCAACTACTTAAGTATTAGTAAATGGTTCTTATTGTTGTGTCGTGGTGGCCAGGAGTGGAGATTAAGACGCCCGCTTCTCATGCATGAGAGTGCGGGTTCGAAATCTAAATACCAACGTGACATTTCCCGAGTAATAAGTACTTTCTAAGATGATTTAGACACCTTTGACAAACAGTGAAGTTAAACATCGTGAGGAAACCCGAACTTAAAATTTCTAAATAAATTTGAAATCGCCAACCCGCAATAAGCAAGCGTGGTGATTTACGCTCAAACCTTCTTCGTGTGAGAAGAGGTTTTGTTTAGCAGTGGGCATGTATAGGCTGTTGATAACGTGATGATGAATAGTTCTTAGTATCGTTTATTTTTATACGAATCTTTGAAACATACTACTCATAAAATATGGTCATAAATTTCAAGAAACAGACAAGAAGACTTCTCTCATATTAATGTAAATATAACATATAGTAAAGTACTCAAGGCATGTTGTATGAGGCTTAACAGCCTTTGAAGACAGCTGGAACATTGTCTAGATGATAAAGTACGATATAAAAGGAATTACAAGTTCAGACTCTTGAGAAAAGTGGCCATTTTGGTGGATTAAAGTGAATATGTTAATGCTGAAGTTTAGTGGATGACAGTGAGCTTAATTGTGTGTTTGTTGTGTTTTGCCCCTGAGATTACTATTTTTATTACTTATTACTAAGATTTTCTCCTGTGTCGTGGGTGCGTTTACAAACATACACGTTTACATACACATGACACCCAGACCCAGAATGTGTGGATCACACAGAGTTGTTTCGTGCGGGAATCGAACCCGCGACATATTGCGTGGCAGCCAGTTGCCCAGCCACCGCACCGTGCAGTCATAATGTCCATCTGGTAGATAATTTAAAACATTAGACATGTATTTTTTCTTTACTCACAAAATTGTATACTTTCGATGATATATTAATTTGAAATATCGTGTGACATCACAATAAAGATAAAGATAAAGATAAAGATATTTTTTATTTACAATGTGCCTCACTATCGACCTTCCCACTCCTAAACTTAACGACATCTTATCTAAGTATTTGTCTAAATTTCTACGATTGGACGTTACCAACGTAACATAACATCACGCCTTTTACACCCGAAGGGGTAGGCAGAGGTACAATGGTACAGGCAACTGTACAATGTAACACTCACTTTACACTATTTATGTTATGAATCCCATGTAATAGGGGGTGAGTCTATTGCCATATACCGGGCACCATTGTAGACTCCGTGCTACTACTGAGATTTAAAATAACCCAGTAGTATTTTGCCCGACCCGGAAATCGAACCCGAGTCCCCTTGCTAAGCAATCGCACTTGCGATCACTCGACCATTGAGGCAGCGTAATAAGAACTAGCTAAGTAAATTACTTGAGACGCTATTAGGTATCCTGTTACATTATTATTTTAGTGTCTATTTTTAGCTCGAAATCAGAAGATATTTGACCTTAAGGAATAAGGTATGCGTAGGAGAGTGGTCAAGTTATAAGATTATTTTTGTCGAGATCTCAAACAATTTCCAATCCTGGGCTGCCCGACATCGCTACGACCGCGCACGCTGCTCATGAGGAAGAACCCCTCTGTGGTCTGCAACTAGTAAAGCTTTTCTCAGTATATTCACGTACTTTCAATCCATCAATAATTATTTCGCGTTTAGCTTGACCTTAAAATATTTTTTCCGGAGGTGCATGGTAACTATATTTGTAGTATTATTATATTTATAGTGTCTATGAATAAACAAATGTACTGTTAATCACCAAATTTCCTTGTCACCGTTAGTTATTGTAACACGCTTTTTATAGGTGATACATTAAAATGATTACTTCATTGTTGCTAGGGAATAATCAACCTTATTTATTAAAATGTAATGTATTGACTTCCTGGGTACTGGAATAACGAACAATAACAAGGAATGTAATTTATTTAAGGACTTTTTATGTATAACTATGTGACGATGATATAAAATGAGTCGAGTTATAGGTAAAAGTTACAAGATTTTTTATTGAAATTTCATTTGTTTTAGTTCAATGTGTGGAAACTAGACTATAGAAGACTGTCGTCTCTTTTTGTACTTGTATGCCATCGTAGATATTAGTTTTTATTTGAAGGTACTAAAAGACAAGGTCGTGAATATTCTTAACAAAAAGTTTCATTAACATAATAGGTACTTTCCTAAATTTTATTCTAATGTCCGTCTGGTACATTCATTTAAAACTTTGGACGCGTATTTTTCCTTTTTCGACGATATATTAATTTGAAATATCGTGTGACGTCACAGCGTGTCACATTTTGTGGCACGTTATGACGTAACGACCTGCCACTCTTAAAGTTAGCGCCATTTTACCTAAGTATTGCAACTTAATACGAGAAAATAAAATATGCGTGTCTAATATTTTTCATTATCTAACTGATTCTTATGATACCCTGGAAACTACCCAATTCCTGCTCATATTACTAAATATTTAATTTTGTGGAAAGGTGTCCATATTCACAAAAAAACTGTTTTGCTTTAATCCATTAAAGTTATTACGTTTAGTAGACCACTATATCTTATTGACCAACATAATTATTATTCATAAGTAAAATATTTACACAAAAATAAACATAGCAAAGGTTGTCTTCCATCCACTATAGCATTATAACAGAGTCGCCTATCTATCGATGAAGATGTCAATAGAAAAGTTGCTGAATAAATTATTTTTTATAGAAAGTATCATAGGTGTTTATCGCAGTTTTAGTTCTCAGACCAGGATCAAGAAATGTTTAATCTGTTCCCAAATTATCACCCAAATAACAATACATACAATCTTCTTATATAAAGAATTAAGTTATTTATCTAGCAAGACGTACTATGATCAAATGGATTTCATTAACAGTTGTTTCATTGTTTCTTTTTATGTTATATCATGTTTATGTGTCAATGCTACGATATATTATAGCAGTGACTTCAAATCTTACTTTATTAATGTGATTCGGGTCTCTAAATGCTTTCAAGATAATCAGGATTTTACAAGTTCTGTCCAGAAAATTTACTATAGTATTGTTGCACTACTCATATTTTGTATTTTGATGGGAATCTACAGATCTGTCGAGCTGATTCCCAAAGTATTACCTTCTACGCCTTTGGTTTTCTTCCTTCTATTGATTTCGCAATCTTTTTTGAGGATGACGGTCATATTACAACCGATTGCTTTGTTTATTTTTATCATCATTGTGGGTGTTTTGTACAAATGTCTTATAACAAGAGTTTGTGCAGTCGAGGAGTGTTATGGAAAATATGACGAGAATGGACGGTGTGAAGTTATCACGCCGGAGAAAATCCAAGGATGGGTGGAACGATATCGGGGATTATCAACTTGTGGTGAAAAAGTCACGTTGTGTTTCGGAAAATTGGTACCTACCTATTAGATATTTTTTTAGTGTTCCTGTATTTAGTATTTACTTTTCTAATGACTTATTACCTTTTTTCTTTTTCAGTATTTCACGTCTATCCTATTGTCCTTCTTACGGTACATTCTGATGACTTATCAATTTTTCTACAACTATAAGTTAAACGTAAGTACAATTAGATTTGTCGTTGCACTTTACACACATTTTCTTTAAACAATTTTCAATTACCAAGTTCCAAGCACTTTCAAATCAGGAATAATTATCCCAAGATCTTTCCCCTTATAACAATGCATTCTTTAAGTGTTTAAAAAATAATATTTACTTTCCAGAAAACACGTCCCGTTGATTACAGCCGGTTTATTGTGATATTAACTTATGTAGTAGTGATGATGATGCCCCTAGCTGCTGGACAGCTGACGAGGAACCAGGGAGCGAAGTTCCATCGAGTATTAGCTCGGCTTTACAATAAAATGATTGGTACTGGTAAGAGCATTTTTTTGAATAGAAACCAGTTATTTAATACCGTTTGAAAGCAGAAAGAGCGAGAAAGAGCGAGTAAGTGAGAAATAAACATCTTTTTTTTTGAGGGGGAGCATCATCCATTGACTTCTATCGCCCGCGTGAGGTGAAAGGGAGTGTCATACTCTTACTGACTCAAAACCACCCCGTTCCTTCTCCTGCACGTCGAGCCGGAGCCCCGGTTACCCGTTAGGTTCTCCGCGACTCCGAATCGGCATCGACCCTGTTGGGCCCCATTTGTGGTGGTCCGACGCGCCGTACGCTCGGGTCTGGTTCTGGTCGTGTGGCGAGTCACCAGTGATCATCTCGCGATCCCCTACGAAGAATTATACGTCTACGTAGCAATTAAACTGACAATATTTACGTGACTTTCATTTCAGATGCAAATGCAGAAGAAACGAAAATGATAAAGGACTTCATACGTTTGATCAAGAAGAATCCGTTGCAAATCAAGTTGATATCTAATTTTCCAGCTGGAATGAACCTTTTGCCTGTAATTGGGATGTTGTTTTTCAACTATCTCATTGTTATACTACAGTTTAATCATGTCATTTAGTTCAGTACTGATTTATAACAATAAACCGAGCGATCAAAATATCTTAGGTGATTTTTTTTTGCATAAATTATTAATTTGATTACTTACAAAGGGAGCTAACGTAAGTATTACGGTAACTGGTGAGTGTAATTTTAGTTTCGAGTACCAAGACTGAAGTCCCAAGAGAAGCAATTCCTTACGCTTTTTATCCAAGTTCACATTACGGTACTTAAAGCCATTGTACAATGTAACACCCACTTTTCACTACCTATTTATGTTATGAGCCCCATGTAATAGGGGGTGAGCCTATTGCCATATACTGGGCACGTTTACAGACTCCGTGCAACTACTGAGATTTTTTCAAAAACGCAATAATATTTTTTGACTCGGGAATCGAACCCGAGATCTCTTGCCCCCAATGAGGCAGTCAATCAGTTGAGTAAATTATTAGGAAGGAGGTTTTCATTAAACATGTTCATTTAAAACTCTACAGACAGTCAAAATATGTTAACTACGTAAATATCAATACAATAATAAAACCTTTTTAATAATCACCTAAATATATATCTACTTTCATTTACAGCTATATCGAAGTTAACAAACGCCGTCTAATATTAAAATTCGAGGCGAAATAATGTAGAATAGTCCCAGATTGTTAGGTAAGACTAAATCTGTCGCCGGCCTAAATAATGACGATTTTTCTTTCTGGCTTCGAGCAGTATATAACAGGATTTAGCCAGAAAAAGAATTGCTCGGCACAAATTATTTATGTACGTTACATTACATTTAGGAAGCCATCTTTGATTCGTGTAGAAATAATGAGGTCGAAATGCTTCTTACGAACTTTTCAATATCTAAAATAAAGGAAGCTGAACTTCCATTAGTTAATGTAATATCTTTTTTGTAATTTAGACGAAGATTAAGACACCCGCTTCTCATGAATAAGGGTTTGAAACCTACCAATAGCAAGTACCAATGTGACTTTTTCCGTGTTATATGTAGGTACTTTCTAAAATTATTTAGACGCCACTGACGAACGGTGAAAGAAAACATCGCGAGGAAAGCTGGGTTTATAATTTCTAATTATAAGTTTGAAATCGCCAACCCGCATTGAACAAACGTTTTTGCTTAGTAGAGGCCATTTATAGGCTATTGATGTATGATGTACATAATGTCTTTTTAATCGGTGGACGGTAGATAGAGATACCCTTTTTTAGGGGGGAAAATCATCGAATGACTTCTCCCGCCTGGGTGAGTGTCAGACTCTTACTGACTAAAAACCACCCTGTTCCTACTGCGTTTCGAGCCGGAGCGCGGAGCCCCGGTCACCCGTTAGGTTCTCCGCTACTCCGGTGGCGGTGTGTCCGGCTTGGACTGAGCACCGCCGTGTCCTCAGGAATGTGATCGGCGACGGCGACCTCTCGCGTCCGTCTCTGGTTCAGACCATGGTACGGAGCGAGGGGGACTCAGATGCGAGCACGGGTGACTCGCCGCCCGACCAGAATCAGGCCCGAGCGTACGGCGCGTCGACCTTATAATACTATGAATAGCTTCTGCATTTCATCGGTTATGTCGTAGGTAAGTTACATGCATTATGGGGTGATTCATACATCATGCACTATACACGGTGAGCTGTTACGAAGCATTTTCGAAAATAGAAAGCCCAATAATAGTTTGCTTTCTGTAGGAATCAAGTAAGTGGTCACTCGATCAAAAAGGCGGTCCTGATTTTAATTATTACCTATTTATTCATTATCTTGTTTAGAGAATGATTTAAAAAGTAAGTGTGTAAGTCAAACTGAATAAAGGAAAAATAGTATAAAGGTGAATTTAGGCGAGCGTTGGGATAACCTGCCTACCCCATATGGAAGTTACAGTAAGCTGATAAACTTGACATTTATTAGTAATATGATAAGTTCATAATTACATAGAATAACTAAAGTATTTGATATCGTGGTGGCTCGGAGGTTTAAGACGCCCACTTCTCATGCATGAGGATACGGGTTAGAAACCTACGGCAAGTACCAATGTGACTTTTTCCGAGTTATACGTACTTTCTAAGATTATCTAAACACCACTGACAAACGCGCAACGTGTCGCGGGTTCGATTCCCGCACGGAACAACTCTTTGTGTGATCCACAGATTGTTGTTCCAGGTCTGGGTGTCATGTGTATGTGATATTGTATGTTTGTAAACGCACCCACGACACAGGAGAAAATCCTAGTGTGGGGCAATGTTTATTTAGAAAAAAAAAAAACGGTGAAGGAAAACATTGTGATGAAACCTGGACTTATAATTTCTAAGTATAAGTTTGTAATCGCCAATCCGCATTGAGCAAGCGTGGTAATTAATGCTCAAACCTTCTCCGTGTGAGAAGAGGTTTTGCTCAGCAGTGGGCATTTATAGGCTGTTGTTGATTGATGAACTAAAGTACATACTTTCGTTCAAGGTGTCCCAAAGTGACATTGGAGGTCAAATTATACCATAAATGACTATATTATCATAGAATTATTATGGTATTGAGTCTACCAATTACTTTAACAACTTAGCATAATTGTGAATTAAAATAACAAAATACAGGAGCACAACAGTCGTTACTAAACCGTAATATATAACATAGCAACTAAAAATGTTTCGAATACAATGGTTAAATATGTTATTGATATTTGGGAATACTCTTGGGGAATACAGAAGCTATTCGCAACAACACAGTCTTAGAAAAGGCTTAATAATTTTTCACATTCTGATACAAACGATATTGCACTTTATTAGCGTGCTTTATGAACTATATATCTTAATGCGTGGTGGTGTTATTTATCAGATGAATGTCATCTATGCTATATTCGTCGTGTCATCTTTTGCAACCTTTATCATGTCGGTTGTGTCTTCTGTCAGTTCGAGCGACAATTTCATATCATACGCAGAGACCGTTAACCGTATTTACCAGCGATTTGGATACGACAAAACCCTATTAACATCTTTAAAACGATTATGTTTTGTAACGTTTTCTTTGATATTAATATCTATAGTATTCGCTATTACCAGATCAGTGACAGTTTTAGCAAAGTTTCTCAGAACAAACGATGACATTATACCTATGGGATATACCATGGTATTTTATTCACAATGTTTTGTAAGGATCACAATATTTTATCAAAAAATTATGACGTTTGTAGTTATTACGGTCGTTGTTATTCTGACGAAATCGTTCAGTTCTTTGATATCGAGTGTTCAAGATAAAGTGGTTAAAGCTAATGATGTGTATGAGGATCAAAGTAATGATGCTATAACAAAAGAAGTTGTTCAAGAATGGTTGGATATGTACTTAGATTTAGCAAATTGCTGTGAGAAAGTGATGCAGTGTTTTGGACGGCAGGTTTGTCATATTGGTTGCAAGTCTATCACCATCAGCATCACCATAATCATCAGCTATGGAGAATTCTCCAATTGGAGATAGCTCCCTCTAAAATAGCACATCAAAGGACTCTATTTTCAGCTCTTCGCAATTGATTATGCAATTTTAACCGTTCTCGTGGTGGTCCGGAGATTTAAGGCGGCCATTTGACCTTCAAGTCCTGACGTGGTAACATACTTACTCATACCATACTCATACCATAAACGGTGACGTGACGTACGTCAAACACCTTAATAAATAATCGAAATGGATTACTTTTATTTACTGGTTTGCACGATATTTACTTGTAGTCTGATCGGTCCATTATAATTCTATTAAGGAAAGTGCAAAAAATACAACATTCTCGAATGAAATCAGCGGTTTCTGATTCAAATTCTATAAACTTAAAATATAAATATTCCGCATAACTTAAAAATATATATGTTACAATCTTAGCTACAATACAAATTATTTGGACGTTTTTTTGGAAAATTCTTATATTCTTGAACACGCCGTCTATAAGACACCCACGTCAGTAGTTAAAGGTTAAATTACAGTACGGGTTCGAAATCTACCAACGTCAAGTACCAATGTAACTTTTTTCGAGTTACATGTATGTTTTGAGTTAAGGGCTTTTTTTTAAGGGGGGAAAATCATCGAATACCTTCTCCCACCTGGGTGAGGTGGAAGGGAGTGTCAGACTCTTACTGACTAAAGACCACCCCATTCCTACTCCTACACTTCAAGCCGGAGGCTCGGTAACCCGTTAAGTTCTTCGTGGCTCCGTATCGGCATCAGCCCTATTGGGCCCCATCTGTGGTGGTCTAATGGCTCTTGGAGGTGCGCGCGGAACGAGACAAGAGCGAACGAGAACGCCCCGCGATGCCCGACGCCCGGAGTGTCCTTCGCGACGGCTGGGTTGTGAGAACGCAGCGATTCGCTGCCTCAGCAAGCATGACTGCGTCGCAAAAGGAGGAGACAGCATCCCCCTTGCTCCGCATTATGACCCGGACTAGGGCCGGACGCGAGAGGTCGCCGTCGTGGTGGTGCTCAGCCCACGCAGGGCATTCCCCTACTGTGTGGTCCACTGTGTCCTCAGGGCGGTCCTCACAGTGATGACATCAGGGCGTTTCCTCCCGCCAACCAAATTAAAATTTACCAACGTACATTTTCTTATTAATTTCAAAGTATGTTTGTACATACTTACTAACATTATTTAGATACCACAGACAAACGGTGAAACTTAGGCTTATCATTTCTTATTATAAGTTTAAGATCGCCTACCTGCTTTGAGCAAGCGTGGTGATTAATGCTCAAACCTTTGCCGCGCCTTCGGTCAACATTGCTACTGGCTGTCATCATCATAATGAATTATGCAATTTTGTTTATATAATTCTGTTTTAGTTCCTATTTGCATTGGTAATGGCAATACTCTACTACATATTACTAACATATCAAGTATGCTACTTAAATATGCGAAATGTAAGTATATTTTAATTTTAAACTCAATGACTTTATTGATCTATTTGGAGTGTCAGTACCCAATTTTCGTTTTGTTATACAGGCAGGAGATCAGATTATTACTGTTGCAATAATGTTATACATTCTGTATACAACTTTGTCATTGGTAGCTGGGCAATGGGCTTACAAC